CAATGTATTAATTTCAATTTGTTTTTTTCTTAAATTACTGGTTAATTCTTCAATATACTTTTCATTTGACCTTAGAGTTTTTTTTAGTTCATTTAATTCATAATCAGTACAATTTCTTGATACGCTTTCATTTTGATATTTTGTAAGCTCTAAAGTCACCTATAAATATTGTTTTTAAAAATTACAAAATAAACATTATTAACATTTCATTTCACAATTATATACTATTACTTTTAAATTATAGACATACCTATCACCTATATTATCTAGTTTAATACAGGATTTAAGGACTTGAAATATTTATTTCTTACAAAATTAATTTTTTAATTTATAAAATATTTAAGTATTTTTGGATCAGTTGACTATAGATCATAAAGTATCAAACAGTAACATGGCAAACTATTTTTATGTAGGGGTAGAAAATTGTTTTTTCAAACAATATCTACCTATACCAACCGAAATTAACTTTTACTAACAAGCAGTTAATTATTATATTATCAAATTAAAAGAATCCAATCCTGCAATTTCACTACCAACTTTATTCATAATACTTTCACAAACTGGGATCAGGTAGATAGGATCGTCATTTTTAAAAGGTTAAAGGCCATGATACTTAAAAATTATTTCAACACTCTTAGAAAAATAAGCTGATAATAAGGTACATGACAGTCATGGTATCATTCAATACTGCTAAAAACCAGTTTGCGTGATTCATAGCAAGTGTTTATGTATACTAGTGAATTCTGAATTGTAATAATGCATACTATACCTAAATTACTAATTCATAACAATACTAAACAGTATTGTGCTACTATAATTTCCAATAAAAATGAAAAAATTTCAAATCTAATTTTAAACAAGGCCTACTTCTTAATATTATAATTTAAAATCAAATAAATGTGATTATAAAAAAATCAAGAATCTCAGTGTGGTTAGTTAAATTTCTACCAACAAAATAAAAATATAAAAAAAAATTGGAAAAATAGTTAGATATTTACACTGTTTAGTTTATCTTCGAGTTCCTTTTTTTCTTTTTCCAGATTTGATGTATAATGTCGGTTTTCTTCCATTACAGACTCAAGTTTTTTCATTAAACTATCATTTTCTTCTTTTAAATTAGATTTTTCATATCGGATTTCCTTAAGCCTGTTATCTAACTGATCAATCTAAAATCATTAAAACAAAATGATCAAGTATATAAATAAATATTATCTTAAAAATACTCCAAACCATTAATTTTGATTTATTGATGTTGTGTTCTAAAGCAGATTTTTCTTTTTCAAATAAGATATCAGATTCTTTTTTAAGGTTGAAAAGAGTCTTATTTCTTTCTTGGAGTGAAGCAATTTCTGCACGAGCATTAATCAAATCTTGTTTTATGCGACGAGATTCCCACGGTGATGTCACTGGCGCTGAGAATAAAATATTTTTATTAATTACAGTATAAGATATTATTATTTAAATGTTTAATTATACTGAGTATAGATTCTTGTAAATCGGGACTGCAAGAACGTCGTCGTTTATTYGATAGTAACAATGAATCATTTGAAGAGATCATGCTGGTATCATATCGCATTCTTAATGGATTTGTCCGATTATTTGATCGCAAATCGTCCAAAATTTTAATTACAAACGTTTGATCATTATCTTTAGATTTATTCATGATGTTTATGATTTAGAAGTATTGCTTGTAATAAAATTAACAAAACTATTTGCGTACAATTAAAAGATATTTAATTTTTTTTATTAAAAAACCATAAGTAATATAAAATTATCAAAACGAAGTACAAAAAAAAAAAAATAAAAACCTTTAAACAATACTTAATAAACGTCAATTAACTTCATCTTTAAACAAACGTAATCGACAATAATGATTGTCAAGGAATAACGATAACGACCATTATTTATTTTATCACAGATTTGAGATTATATGAAAACAGATTGTGCACTTCCTATATTGCGCACTTCCTATATTGCAATGTAAAAAATGAATAAGATACTCTGATTGGTCTCCGCCCAAATCAGTGTAGCCACAAAAGTAGTAAAATATAATGGTAAATTATTGTCTACAAAAAACATATTCTTTTAAATTTTTCACAATATCAAACAATTTATTAACAATTAAAAATGATACAAATTACAATATTGAATATAACTAAATTTTACACTTTACACATAACTTACAGATTTTATTATAAACAATTAAAAGTAAATACATATAATAAATTATAAACATGGAAATATACAAATATAATATATATA